AAATTTTCGCGACGAATTTTTGGGTGGGGGGACCTTGGTACGCCACTGCCGTATCTTTATCTTAGCGATTATCAGTGGGTAAACTTTTTCTCAGAAATTTTGTAATCTTGGCCGAATTTTTAGTACGCTCCCCTCCTCTAGAATTATGGTTGATAGAATAAAAACTACTTCATTTCTTGAGAAATCCAGATTTATTTTCAATAGGAAATGGTAAAACTACTCAATCTGTCTCAAGAGATTCAACATTTATTATTACTTCAGTTTTGAAGGTACAGCAAAATATAGGTGAAAACATAGTACCATATATACAAATATTGTCAAGATTTTGAAGGGGGCTCCCTTCCTCCTACTCAGATAAGATTTTGATAAGTCATTGCTGCATGTGGATGTGTCATCAGGTAGGAAAATTGAAGGTCCGAATCTGAAAATTGTTGATTACGGCCGCGATGTCGTTAAGCCTTGATTGAGCGTTATGTGATCTCTCAGTAACCCTTTCTTCTCTGGGGCTGGAGATTGCAGTTAAAAGATTTTCAAGAACAAAAAAGCTCACCACTCGGCATCGAAGTGTACGCAGTTCTGACCGGATACTGTGGTACCCGCGGGTAAAACGGTAGGCGATTCGCTATAGGAGCTGGATAGACGTAAGGTGCATAATAGCGACTCATCATGGGGTTGATCCTGTTCAGGTACTGCATGTTACCATAGTAGGGATTTACCATAGGATAGACAGGAGGGCGCTGTAAAATGCGATAAATTCTCGAAAAATGGTAAAATCTTTAGTGTCAGAAAAAGTCTCACCCACCCAATTCGGCAGTGTGTATCGATACGCATCAGCGTTCAGCGGTGTCGGCATAAACATGTCAACATTCTCCCCTATTTGTCCCATAGTATCAATAGATATCGATTGCGGCGAAACGTCGAACTGACTTTCAGCGTTCACTGATTCTTTATCGTTGCCGGTGGCAGCAATTGCAACTGAGATTATCTGTTACTGATTTTGGGAAACCGGAGCTACGTAAAATAAAAATGGCGCATTGTTTTGCTTTTCATCTGACCCCTCTGAACGCAGTAATTAAAATTTTTGCGCCCTTCCGGCTGGACAAACTATAATGCATTTTAACACGACTTTATC